CCCCCGGCCGTGAACATCACCGCCCCGCCCCCCTTCGCTTCCCGCAGTGGCGCTCAGCTGACTCCTGCGCCGCTCACGCACGGGGAGCGCGGAGCCGAAATGGCCGTTTGGGCTCCATGGTCCCCCAAGTGAGAGGCGGGGGGGGGGGGGGAAGAGAAAGAGAGATGGAGAGAGAGGCGGGAGGCAGAGGAGAGCTGAGAGAGACGGGGGGAGGCAGTAGGAGAAGGAGAGAGAGAGAGAGAGACGTGGAGGAGAGATCTGAAAATCCCGTCTTATGATGGGCTATTGGCTAGTTTCAAAATAATGTCCAAATACTGCCAAGCTGGAAGACTTCTTACTCTGACTCCTGCAACCCTCACTGTACGAGGAGTAAGGGAAGTCGGAAGAAGAGTCCTCTCTCTCAAAATAAGTGCTGTGTAGACATTCCCAATTTCAATTTCAAAATAAGCTCTGCTTCTTTCCCCATCTCACAAGCATCAGTCCAGGGTGGCAACAAAGCCTTTGATGTTTTAGTCCTGGGTTTCGTATTCCCAACTCTACCCATGCACCTCCATCCTAACCTCTTGAGAACTCACAGAGGGCGGGAGAAAACCCAGAGAACTAGAAAAGGGCAAATATAGTGCATATCGATCAAAGAAGAAAATAAGGACAACCCAGAGAATTATAGACCAATCAGCTTAACTCCAATGCCTGGAAAGAAAATGGAGCAAATAATCAGACAAATTGTAAGCAACTAAAGATAAGGCGATAAGAAAACATGGATTTTCCAAGAATAAATCATGTGAAACCAACCTAATATCCTTTGATAGTACAAGCCTTGTAGATGGGGGGAAGCAAAAGATGCATCTGAACTTGAGTAAGGTTGCTGATAATATAGAATCGTAGGGTTGGAAGAGACTTCAGGAGGCCATCAAGTCCAGCCCCCTGCCCAAGGCAGGACCAATCCCAACTAAATCATCCCAGCCAGAGCTTTGTCAAGCCGGGACTTAAAAACCTCTAGGGATGGAGATTCCACCACCTCCTATGTCTCATATGACCTCACAAGCAAGATACGGAAATACCACCTAGATGAAGCTAATACACAGTGGGTTGGAAATTATACTCTGAGGCTACATCTATACTGCAGGCTTTTTGCCCAAGAACGCCTGTTCTTGCGCAAAAACTTGCAGAGTGTCTACACTGTATGCAAGTTCTTGCGCAAGTAAATTTACAGTACAGCATTAGAAAACAGGGCTTCTTCCTGGAAGAGTTATTCCTCTCCCCACGAGGAATAAGCCCTCTTGCGCAAGAGCTCTTCCACAAGAAGACAGTGTAGACAGGCAACGTTAATGTCTTGCGCAAGAAACCCCTATGACTAAAATGGCCATCAGAGCTTTCTTGCGCAAGAGAGCGTCCACACCACCACGGATGCTCTTGCGCAAAAGCACGTGGCAGTGTAGACGCGTTCTTGTGGAAGACCTTTTGCACAAGAACTCTTGCATAAAACAGTTCTTGCGCAAGAAGCTGCCAGTGTAGACGTAGCCAAAGAGTACTTATCAATGACTTACAGTTGAGCTGGAAGAACGTATCAAGTAGGGTCCCACAGGGATCTGTCCTGGGTCCAGTTCTATTCAATATATTTTTAAATGATTTGGATAAAGACATAGGGTCATAATTCAAACTGATCTGGACACATTGGAGAAATGGTCTGAGGTAAACAGGATGAAGTTTAATAAAGACAAATGCAAAGTACTCCACTTAGGAAGGAACAATCAGTTTCACATATACAGAATGGGAAGCAACTGTCTAGGAAGGAGTACGGCAGAAAGGGATCTAGGGGTTATAGTGGACCACAAGCTGAATATGAGTCAACAGTGTGATGCTGTTGCAAAAAAAGCAAACATGATTGTAGGATGCATTAACAGGTGTGTTGTGAGCAAGACACGAGAAGTCATTCTTCCGCTATACTCTGTGCTGGTTAGGCCTCAGTTGGAGTATTGTCTCCAGTTCTGGGCACCACATTTCAAGAAAGATGTGGAGAAATGTGAGAAGGTCCAGAGAAGAGCAACAAGAACGATTAAAGGTCTAGAGAACATGACCTATGAGGGAAGGCTGAAAGAATTGGGTTTGTTTAGTTTAGAAAAGAGAAGATTGAGGGGGGACATGATAGCAGTTTTCAGGTATCTAAAAGGGTGTCATAAGGAGGAGGGAGAAAACTTGTTCATCTTGGCCTCTGAGGATAGAACAAGAAGCAATGGGCTTAAACTGCAGCAAGGGAGGTTTAGGTTGGACATTAGGAAAAAGTTCCTAACTGTCAGGGTGGTCAAACACTGGAATAAATTGCCCAGGGAGGTTGTGGAATCCCCATCTGTGGAGATATTTAAGAGTAGGTTAGATAAATGTCTATCAGGGATGGTCTAGTCAGTACTTGGTCCTGCCCCGAGGGCAGGGGACTGGACTTGATGACCTCTCAAGGTCCCTTCCAGTTCTAGTATTCTATGATTCTATGATAGTGAGGATACTCAAAGTTTGCCATTCATAACAAGTCGGGAGGATTTGCAAGAACTGCGGAGGACAGGATAAGAATTCAAAATAATCTTTATAAACTGGAGAATTGGTCTGAATTAAATAGGCTGACATTTGATCAGGATATGCGCAAAGTGCTCCACTTAGGAAGCAAGAATCAATTGCACACATACAAAACAGGAACGGGCTGCCTAGAAAGGAGAACTGCAGAAAAGGATCTGGGAGTTATAGTTGCACACAAGAGTAAACAGTGTGATACTATTCCAAAAAAAAAAGGTAACATTATCTTGGGATAGTGTAAGGAGAGTTGTAAGCAAGACACAAGTCATTCTTCCCCTCTACTCTGCACTGATTAGGCCTCAATTGGAGTATTGTGTCCAAGTCTGGGCACCACACTTTAGAAAAGATGGACAAATTGGAGCAAGTCCTGAGGAGAACAACTGAAATGATTAAAGGTCTAGAAAACACGTCCCATGAGGGATAATTTTAAAAGTTGGGTTAGTTCAGTCTGGAAAAGAGAGGACTGAGGGAAAACATGGTAATAGTCATCAAATACATAAAAAGCTGGCATAAAGAGGAGGGTGACTACATTAGAGGACCTATTCAGGTCCCGTACAGTGCTACAAGTTTATATTTCAGCTCCTCCACTGTGCTCCATGGCTGCTCTGCCACTGCATCTCAACACAACACCACTGCCTTCAACGTGAATCCCTCAGCCCAGAATTTCTTACTGAAAAGTTCAATGTTCAACCCTTTGACCTGGCCTCTTTCGGAAAAAGGGTTCTTCCTCACAGAAAGAGGTTTATCAATGTCAGAAAAACCTCTCTGTTCTTTCGATTTTTTTTTGAAAGACCGTGATTGCAATGTGGACGTAAGTGACGTTTTTTCGGGAAAAACAGCTGTTTTTCCAAAAAAACCTCTTCCGTGTAGACATACCCTAATGGAGTTGTGTTCATTGTCATGGGCACACACGTTTTCATATCCCTGTCAAGTGTGCCAGGGGTATTATCCTGCTTCCTTGACTATAAACCTGGCCGGGCACCTTTGCTACTAAACCAAGTTCTGTGAGCTTAATGAGCAGCTCAGTCGGAACCTGCTGTACGGGCTACTTGGACAAAGCCAGCGCAGTGTGCCGAGAGACCAGACAACCAAACATCTGACAACGGCATCTTCAGTCAACGGGCTGTTTGGTGGGAGCAGGGGGAATCCGAGTAACGATTCGGGAGTCAGCGTGTTGGGCGGATGGCGGTCAGGCAAGCTTCCCTGTCGGGGCAGTTTGGCAGGGCGGGTCCCGAACGGGCTGGCAGGACAGGGAGGGTGCAGAGGGGAGACCTTGTGGGGATCCAGCATAGGGTAAAAGAAGCGGACACCACCGACAAGAGGCAGCAAAGTGTTCTGCGGCCACTCTGTAAATCAGGGCTGCCAACAGACTTCGCTGGGCCCTGGGCAAGGTGTGTGGGGGAGGGGGTGGGGGGCAGCTTCAGGCCCCCAGAAGTGGCAGGGCCTGAGGCACAGGGCAGGGCTGAGAGCTAACCCAAGCCCTTCAACGCCACCCAGAGCTCCAGCAGTGATGGAAAGGGCCCAGGCTTGTCTGGCTCCTGCCCTGGTTCAGGCCCTGCACCCCTCCTGACCTACACGGTGCCCTTCCTCACAGCACTGCCCTGCACTCTGGGCTCCTCCCCTGCCAGGGACCCCCAATCCCTCTACCCACCTTGCCTCAGTGACTCACTGCCAGTCAACATCTCGCCCCTGCCTCAGGGGCAAACTGCAGTCAGACGTGGCCACTCGTCATCGGCAAGGGGTTGTGGACCTGCTGCCTTCTGCTGAGTAGCCTCAGGCCTTGAGACCAAGGCCTCAGCCTGGGAGTTTGCTTGGCCAGAGCTCCCCAGCTCTGCCTGCCTTTCCTCAGCCCATCCCAGCCTCAGGGACCCTTTCTAGCTTACCAGCAGCCAGGTCCTTCCTACTCCACAGCAAGGCTAGGTCTACACTGGCGGCACCTTGCTCAAGGGTTCTTATGCAAGAAGTCATGCGCAAGAACACGTGG